AGTTCCATGGGACTTACACCTGGGTAAGTTTATATAGAAATTAAGCCTTAGATTGGAGACAATTGTATTTGTTGTTTAGAGAGCTGAAAACAATCTAAAAGATTTATTGTTAGAGGGAAGCATGCTCACCCAGTTTTTGCATCAAGCAAAGTTTTGTATTGTTTCAAAAAGACACAATTTGAGCAGAAGCAAGAGTGAGACAAAGAAATGTGTGCTTCCCAGGGGTGCTGAACCTGTTTTTGCCCGAGGGCGGGGCCAGTACCAACCCTCCCATTGCATGAGATGGGAGACCATACCTGTGTCTTCCTCCTCCCTTCCCTTCCCCTATCCCATCACACAACATACCCCCATCTCCATGTTGCATCCACTCACCTCCTGCCCTGAAGAGAGGCACTGGCCAGGAAAAACAGCCAGTGCATCTTCAGTGGGCTGACCAGGCCCAAACGCCTGGCTGAGTGGGGTACAAGGGAGGTCCTCAGAAACAGGAGGGGTATGCTAGGAGATCTACAGAGAGCCTGGAAGCCCACTTGCTTGAGCTGGAGGACTATCAGAGTGAGCCACAGCACAGGGGGCTGAGAGAGGCTGCTGATCTTTTGTTCTGGGGAGAGGAAAACAGATTGGCAACAGGGGCAGAGGGCATCAGCATCGCTGGGCAGGTGGCTGATCCAGAGGGCTCCCCTGGTCTCCCTGTCCTGCCACATTAAACGCTGCTGTGGGCAAATGGCTGGGAGGACTGGAGGCAGTGGTGGGCCCCCTGAAGGGGACAGAGGGTGGAAGTGCAATTTGCAGCTCCTTCTGCTCTGTTGCCTGAAATAGGATCTTGACTCTGTTTTGTGGGAGGGCTGACGCTGCCTGGGGTTCAGATTCCATTCTGGAAAAGTTCTTGGACCACATTCAATTGGTGGCTGGGATGAAAGGCAAAATTATTGGAGCTTAAGGTTCTTCCTGCCAGTAAGTAAGGCTAAGGAGAGGTATTTCAACCTTCTGGAATGGGACATGGGAACACACAGAAGCTGGGACACTGCTGCATGTTCAATGATTATGGGAAAGATGATAGGGCCAGGGATAGAAGTACAACTCTCATTGGAGAGTTGCATACCTAAGGTACCCCTCCAAAAGTGGAGCAAAGGAAATGCCTGTACAGTATGAGAACCAACACTTCTCAGTCCAATAGTTCTGGGCCTTGTCAGTATGATGGACAGGAATACAATAGGTTCAGCTTTCCACTTTTAGGGAAAGTTGCACCTATCCCATTTGTTTACTGTGTTACTAGTAAAAATGCAAGAACTGAGCCAAGTGGGAGGAAATACAACAATTTTCATAAAAACCCAACTGCTCCACTATGCCATTCATTGATCAAGAAAACAAAAATGCTGTCTAGGACCTTTCTTTCCACCAGCATTCTCTTTCAGTGTTCTTCTGCTCCTCTTCTCCTCCGCAGGCACATGCTTGGGTTGCAGTTGGGTCCTGTGAAACAAAGGTGGAAATTTTATTCTCCAAACTAAGAAAAGAGGTTTAACAGCTTTGGGAATGTAATAAAACAAAGAGGGTTAAGTGGTGCCTGGCAGAGGCTCCCTCGCAGGGGGACTGAAGCCAGGGTTGGGGCTTGTACCTGGTCTTGAATCCACACACACAGGATTACCTGGACATAGTTCAGTCTCATGCCAATGTAATCTGCGCCACTTTCATTACAGAGGAGGAAAGGTTTTGCACCTGCTGATGTCCCTATCAAATTAGCTTGTTTAATGCTGATACCTTAACAGACATGGCAGACCTTAGGAAAAGGGGTCAGATTGCCAACTGGCAAAGATGCTCAGTTCAAGCCCATTTAGAAAGGGCACTAGACATTGTTGCCTATTGGTCTGCTCTGGCAAAAGAGGAGGAATCCCCAGATTCCCAACAGATATCATCCAAGAAAATGTTGCATCTATATTTTGCCTTGATCAAAACCTTGCTTTGGCAGTTCCCCCTGCCCCGCGCCTTTTCCTACACCTTCTTTAGTAGTCAAACATAAAGAAATCTTTAGCTGATGGTGCCTTTCCCACTGCTTATTTCCATGTGTAGGAAAAATTGGTAAATGTATGTGTCAAGGTGCCCGGATAAGCCAAAGTGGCAACTCTATTGGGTGGTAGCAAAGTGTAGGTTTGCACCTTTCCTTCTTATAATCACATCCATACTATTTTAGTATTCTTTTCCCCATTAGTCATGCCCTAGCTATGAAATGCAGTCTCCAAGGAGGTATACTTGGCATCAATTTTGCTGTCTTCTCAGCACCACTTAAACCCGTTTATATTTATTAAAGAAGCATTTCATCTTAAGTGCTTTTAAACTTGCATAACTATTACAAAAAAGCTGTTTTTTCATATGTATTTAATATTGTTTTAATGTTAGTAACCTGCCTTGAAATGATAACTATAAGACAGTACATGGATGTTTTAATTAAAATTCTCTAATATTGAACTATTTACATCAGGGATCCTACCCTTTCCGAATTTGTGGACACACTTAGGAATCTGAGAAACTGCTGTGGCACCACCACAAAAGCCTAATCAGTGGATTGCCACTTTGGCATCTATTCCTACAGTATCTATGAATCTTACGGTGTGTCTTATTCAGCAAAACCTTCTCTTTCATGTCTGCGGGACACCAAAAAGTCTAGTAAGGGTTTGTCTAATTCAGCTAATTGATTGCAGTGCAATACAGCTGATTCCTCTTTAGACACATATTTTGGTAATGTCCAGTAGCTGCTTCTTTTTAGGAAGATATTGTTGCACGAATAGATTTTGTACTGGAACAGTCTTTCGTATTCACTGATATACATGCACTTGTAAATTAATCAACTTCTTCATGGAAATTAACAAATTGAAGGGATTCTCTGTCCCTTTTGAAGGTAAGGGTTCAATCCTATGCCCTGCCAGCATTGTCCTGGGGACCAGAGGATTATTTGTAGTCCATGTTTTGTGATCTCCATGGCCAAACCCTGCCCCCATCATTGTGACCAGTACAGAAAGAACTGTGTCAGTTGCCTCTCCCAAGGTTGCAAACACACCTGGGAGGGTGGGAAAAGGAGTATGTCTTAGGGTGGGAAGGGGAGAGGGCTGGAGCCAAGGATTTACACTGATTCCTGTGGGCATACCAGCTTCTTTATCTGTTCCTTCCCGGGACTTTATCTAGATAGATGAAAACAGTTATCTTGATAAAATCAGGTCATGAGGCATAGTGGAGATAGTTGCTCTTTGCACCTTGTTTAGGATACAGGCATATGAGAATGGGGGCAAAACCACTGCATTCTGAAATGCTTCTGTTACAGAATTAGAAGGATAAACACTCACCTTCTATAATGCGATGGACTGAGGACTGCCCAGTGCTTGCAATATAGCAACAAGTGGTATATAGAGACCAACTTCAAATGGATACTTAGTTGGATACTGTATTCGGTCCACTTTTGTTGAAGTCTGTGTATAATTCTTAGAAGGTTGTATGCATTGCCTACAAATCCATGTTTGTAGGAAACATGGATTTAATAATAACAACAATAACAATAACATTTTCTCAATATTGCTAATTATTATAACAATAATAACAATTTAATAATACCAACAATAACAATAACATTTTCTCTGTGCCTGCTGATAGCATGTCATGGACCTTTCATGGGCTTAAAGGCTCCTATGGGTGTTGCACTGGAGAGTCCTGCTTTATATATTGTCATCAGTTTCCAATGAATGAATTTCAGAGGCACATAGTCACAGAATAATAATTTTAGCTGTATTTGGAGTTCCATTCTGTCCAGCAATGCTAGTAAAAAGCTCTGGGACTAAGCTCTGTTTTTAAGATCACTTTGGGACATGGTTGGCACAAATGGAGCTAGTAGGGAAATTCATCAGAGTGTACTCTCACCTTTTCACAGTCACATTAAGTTTTGCACATTCAATGGCTAGGGTTAGGTTTAGTTACTGCTGTACCCTCCTGCCTAAGGAGCATAGAAACATTAATGCAACCCCCAAGGAAGAGGGTGGAAATGAGAGGCAGGAATAGACAGGGATGCCACATGTGGCGGTTAATTGCAAGGCCTGAAATGTAGGCTGAATTACAGTAGATGTGCAGGGCATGTGCTTTCTACTGTGGACAGGCAACAATGGAACGTGGGAGAAGCTTGACTTTTCAGCCTTGCCTGCTCTCGCCTTTGGCCCTGCTCACCACTGAATGCAGCTCCCCAAGAGCATCTCTGAAATGGAATCTACCCAACCCTGCAGACACAGCGTGGGAAATAAGCATTTGCCAAAGGCATCACAGAATGGTCCCTCCTGAAAAGAGGTCTGAAGGAAGGGAGGTAGAAAGACCCATGAGGTGGGGAAGAAAATAAAGCCTGTGAGGTGCCTTTTGGGGTGTTGAGCTTCTCTGGACATCAGCAGGGGACAGAAATTTAGCTGGTCATTGGAGTGTTTAAGCCAGCCTTCCTCTTGGGCATGTTGGACAATGGGAGTTGTAGTCCCACACATCTGACACGCAGGCTCCAGCTATGTTCAGCCAGCAGATTTGTAAATAAGCTCAAATATTACCAAACACCACAGACCACCAATGGCTTCCTTCCAAAGTAAGCTGGAGACTGCAACCCTAGAACTTTCCATTGTTTAGAGAAGAGGAGAAAGTGATACAGTAGGGAAACTCCACTGAGGGTGGTAGGACATGCAGCATCACACAGGTATTCTGGGAGACAGTTCCCAAGCATACAGGACAATGAGAAGGGGCAGTGTCCTGAGTGAGCAGGAGATCCTTGGATAGCTGAAGATGGTGGAACTGGAAGACTGAAGACCACAGGTAGAGATATATCGGGACAGAGAATGGAGAGAGAGATTGGGCGATCAAGAGGACAGTGCAGAGGGCTTTGAAGGTAAAGTCAAGACATTTGTGTTAGATTTGTGCAGGGAGAAGTACGGAAGCAAATAGATGGATTTAAGACCGCTATTTCCATCTCTGCCACTTCAATTTCTTTCTGTCTTGGCAGGCCCTTTCTCTCCGATGGAGAGATGCCAGACAGCTGGAACACATCTTCTGACAGCATAGAAGCTCGCACCGCTGGCATTGTTGTGCCTGTGGTCTTCTCACTCATCTTTCTCGTGGGCACAGTTGGGAATGGCCTGGTGCTGGCTGTGCTCCTCCGCAACGGGCAGGTGAAATACAACACCACCAACCTGTTCATCCTCAACTTGGCTGTGGCAGACCTCTGCTTCATCCTCTTCTGCGTCCCTTTCCAAGCCACCATCTACACACTGGATGGGTGGCTCTTTGGGGCCTTCGCCTGCAAGGCGGTGCACTTCCTCATCTACCTCACCATGTACGCCAGCAGTTTCACCCTGGCAGCTGTCTCGGTGGACAGGTAAATGCAAACACTTCTCCTTTACTACCCAGAAAACCAACCCTTTGTCCCTCAAAGCAAGAGGATTTTCTTGATCAAGATCAGGTTGCTACTTCTTCTGCAGAAGATAGTGGTGAAGAAGAGCAATAGCCAAATGAATATCCTTTGAATATCCAAATTAGTGAAGTGTTTGCAAATGTATATGTTCGTGTTTAAAAATTCTTAAATGTTTTTCTCTTCAAATGATATTTCAGTAACTAAATATGCTGATTGATGGCTTACATTGTCAGAATTTGCCCTGTGTGTAGCCAGGGTAAAAAGAAGAAGGGTAGATGCAGCAGAATGAAGTGGTGGAGTTTTGAAGTGGTAGAATGGAACGTATCCCACCTGAGTGGTTTAAATTAAAAGTAAAAATTTTGCAGATCAGGTAGAAAGGGTCTTCTGATTGTATTAGATTTGTACTTTTTGGGAGTTTGACCCTGTAGACGAATATGCAAAAATGGGGCTTCCCATCTGCCATTGTGTCATGTCTGAACTCTGCCACCCCATTCCATGCATGTATTGTCACTACCTCAGACCAGTTCCCCAGGCCTCTGTTTCCCTCGTGCTTTTACCTCATCCTCTCTACATACAATCCAAAGAGTACTTCTTGCTTCCCCTTCATACATCTTCTCCACTTTACCTCCCTATCCTTTCCAGGTTTTTCCTTCCCTTTCCTCTTCGTAAGCTCATCCTACTTAGCCGCTCTTAGCCTCACAGAGGATATGTGAATACTTTCCTGCCAGAACATGCATTCTCTCTGTTCAGGTTGGATATTTGGCATTCCCCATGGGTACATATGGATTTCTGAACCTATTCTGTCTTCCTTCTATACTGAAACACCAATTCCATATCACATTCTGTGTGAAATATGCATACATTGTTGTGGGCCACAGAATAAGGATCTTTCAGTGGTATTTTAACCCAAACATGTTTGAGGTCTTCTGGGAAGACCTATAAAGGGCCTGTCAACAGGACAATCTTGGGGCGGGGTATTTATTTCTAATTTCTTAGCTGCCAGCATGCAAGATAAAAGCAATATAAAACTATGCCAAAAATCTAATCAATAAAACGTTACAACAGTGGATAACACTAATAAACCAGCAGTCCACAGGCACAGGAAGGGCCCCCGGCAAAGAAGGGTCCCCATGAATCCCCGAGTGAAGCCAATTACAGCATTGTGGGGCCACCAGTGAAAATGCCCTCTCCCTTTTATTTGTCTCCTACTCATCTCCCTTTAATTCACTTTCACACCACTTTTGGAGGTGGACAGGTGATAAGGGCCTCTGCTGATGACCTCAGAGTATAAACATGCTGGTAGGGATAAAGGTGGATTTTTAAATAACCGTGTAAAGTTTTAAAGCTTAAAACTCTAAATTGGCTTGAGCAGCTGGCACAATATCAGTGTCACGTCAGCAGACTGCCCCGTTCCCACCAATATCCAGGCAGCCGATATTCTGCATTAACTGAAGTGTTCAAACCATCTTCAAAGGCAGCCCCAGGCAGGGCACATTACCGTGGTCTAGCCTAGATGCCACCTGAATTTAGGAGACAAGACACTGAAGCAGCCACAGGGGAGTGAGAAAAGGAGGTTGATGATGATTGTGAGGGGCATGGGTAGAGACATGGGCAGCCATAATTTCTTCTGTTGTCCATAACTCTTTACAATCCTGCTTCTAGGTATTTGGCTATCCGTTACCCACTGAAATCCCGGGATCTCCGCACCTCCCGCAATGCAGCTCTTGCCATCATCATGATCTGGACAGTGTCACTGCTTTTTGCAGGGCCGTACCTCAGCTACTACCAAATAGTTCACTACCAGGAGGTCCCCATTTGCGTCCCTATTTGGGAAGACCAACGCCGCAAAATTTTGGATATTCTCACCTTTGTATTTGGCTACATCCTTCCCGTCATTGTCGTCAGTCTGGCTTATGCTAGGACTATTAAATTCTTGTGGACGGCTGTGGACCCCATTGAGAGAATCTCAGAGTCCCGTAAAGCCAAGCGCAGGGTCACCAAGATGATTATTGCTGTGGCCGTCCTCTTCTGCCTGTGCTGGCTGCCACACCACCTGGTAATCTTGTGCTTCTGGTTTGGCTACTTCCCCTTTAACCGAGCTACCTATGCCTGCCGCCTGGCCTCTCACTGCCTGTCCTATGCCAATTCCTGCCTCAACCCCATCGTTTATGCTCTGATCTCTAAGCACTTCCGCAGAAGGTTCAAGCAGGTCTTCACCTGCCTTCTCTTCCAGGGCAAGAACAGAAAGAAGCAGACGGGCAACAAGGTCCATGTGGCCAATGTCCCCAATGGTTTAGCCAACCACACAGCAGGCGCCTATGGAGGGAACACTGAGGTAACTCAGCTTCATGAGGAAAATATGAGATGCTACCAGGGCCTGTTGCTGAAGGAAGCTGAAGGGGTTCTCCCAGAGGCACTGCCACATCTGTTGCAAGATACCGCCCTCTGTGATGAGAGCAGGCTAATGGATGAAGAGGGTTCTGGAGCAACGGGGAACAACGCCCTGGCTGTGGCAGCCTCTGGAGGGCTGTAAGCTTAAGACATTCAGGGCCACCTCAAGACATTTTGCACGCTGTGGTGAAGGACAAGGTGGCACCTCTCCGTTCCACCTTCAGAAGCCAGCCAGACTGGCAGCTGACGCTTATGTCCACACAGGTGATGGGACAGGATTGTCCACCAGACCTGGGTGTAGCAGGAAAAATGGCTGCCTGAAACACACAGCGCTATCTTCCAACAGAAGAAAAACAGCTGAGGAGCTGCCCCTCACATTGTCCAACATCTGCTGCCTGAGATCACTGTTTCACTTTGCTTCACAGTAGGACTAGCCCTGCCTGCTAAATACCTAGGGTAGGTGATGTAAACAGAGGGGCAAATGGCAGCCATATTCCCACCTGCGTGAAATATCAGTGGGGAACAGGTTGTTTCTAGTAAGCTTTCTTCAGTACACCCAAACTATTCATATTCTTCAGAGAGAACATCAACATTTACCAACAGGGGCTTTATTTTAATAGTTCCAGTTACACCATTCTTGCATCAATGGCTAAAAAAACACTTGATGAAACTTCCAAAGGTTATGACTACATACTATTGTAGAAAAAAATAGCACATGGATACAGAAGTGGGTGTTCATTTTTCAACTCTGCCCCTTCATTTCTACAAAGCTGCATGCAGAACCTGGGGACTCCCTCTTCCCATTCACCACGCTATTCTTCATAGATTTTTGGTTTGATTTCTTGCCTCAGGGGTCTGCAAACATTTTCAAAAGCTTTTCAACCGTTTAAAATTGTTCCAAAGGGGAGGTATGCGATTAACACAAAAGCTGGCCAATAGTGCTGTGCAAATAATAGCTTCTGCTGAAAACCAGAAGTGCACAGCTGAGGAGCTACAACTAACCTTTGATGTGTATCCCCAGCCCAAATCTGGAGAGCTATTGTGTCTACAATACATTTTGTTTTGGGAGGTAAGCGGGTGGGTTGTCGTAAGGTTGTGATGGGGTTCCTGGAGCATGGGAAAGGGAAACAAAGTTAATTTTTTCTTTCTCATTTCCCTGAACTATCAGGCTGACAGTGTTGAGAGGAAAGTTTTCAACCTCCTGGCACGGATCCCCACATCCACATGCGCTAATTCAGTGCACTCTGAGGGATGGGTTGAAGTCCAGTGAGAACACCCATGTTTTGCATGCAGAGCTGATGATTCCAATTCTTGGCATCTCCAGGCAAGGCTGGAAAAATTCCTGCCTGAAAGCCTGGAAAGCCTTGGCCGCCAGTCAGTGTGGACAACACTGGCCTAGATGGGGCCATGGTCTGACTCAGTATATAGCAGCGACTTTTCTCCTTGTGACACATAACTTGCTAGGGATTCTAACAGATCCATCCAGCCACTGTTATCTTTTTTCCTCCTCAAACTTTAACATTCTGCAGCTCAATAGCTTTTATGGTTCCATAGGTCCCAGAAGTCTAGGTCCTGGTTGGTCTTTTGTTTTGCTTTTTAATTTAAATTTATAAACTAACATACTTCTGCATAGCTAAGCTAGGAATGTGCAAAATCTGCCAATGTTGTTTTAGATTACCCCGTTTCACTCCCAAAATGATAGGTACAGGACCACCTGAATATTGAGTGTGTTGTTACAGCCAGATCACTGCTAAATTGATAACACAGACATTTGTTGGGCAGCCCAAAGGTTTCTGTGAGAATGAAACATTAAAAATGGACTAAATTTCCTGTATGGAGTTGAACAGCTCTTGTTACCGAGAAGGAAGCAGAAGCTGTTAGGGATAAATTTTGTTTGTTTGTTTGTTTGTTTGTTTATTATTTCATTTCTATACAACCCCACAGCCAAAGCACTCTGAGTGGTTTACACAGTCCATAAAAACAGGTGATAGCAATACAATAAAAATATAAAATCAGAAAAAAATAAAATAAATAAATCAGCTAAAAACAGACCATAACAAGGAATAACAAAAAGGGTGTAACATGATGAAACACCTGGTGATCTCCCTAAAGCCCCTGATGGCCAGGTAAGTCTTTAAAAGCCCAGAAGGAGGGCTGACTTAACCAAGCACCAAAAAGATGGCAGATTTGGCACCAGCCAGGGCACAGTGGGGAGGTTATCCCATATTCCCTTTCCTGGCCACCACCAAGAAAGCTCCTCCCCTTGTTGCCACCTTCTGCACTTCCCTGGGGTTGGCAACTGGAGGAGTGCCCCAGAGGATATGGAGCATGGTAGAGTGAACTGGAAGAGATGTTCTCAACAGGTGTTGTGGAACTAAGCCATGGAAGGCTTTATAGGCTGAACCAGCACCTTGAGTTAGGTCCAGAAGCATGCAGTTCAGACATGCGAGTCCTGGATATTAATCTGGCTACCTCATTCTGTACCAGCTGCAGCTTCTGAACCATCTTCAAGAGCAGTCCCATGCAGGGTACATTGCAATGGTCCAGTTTAGAGATTACCAGAGCATAAACTACTGAAACCAGGCTATTCTGTCCAGATAAAGGTATAGCTGGGCCACCAGCCAAAGCTGGTAGATGATGCTCCAAGCAACTAATGCCAAGCCTCAAGTGACGAATTGATCAAGGAGCCCCCACAACCTAAATACTGGCTCCTTCAAAGGGAGTGCAGTGCCATCTAGAACAGGTTGAACACCCCTCATCTGGTCAAAGGAGCCACCTACCAACAGCATCTCAGTCTTGTTTGGACTGAGTTTCAATTGGTTGGCCCTCATCCAGTTCATTGTTGTAGCCAGGCACTGTTTAGCACATCCACGATCTCACTTGCTGATGATGAAAAGAAGTAGAGCTGTGAGGCATCAGCAGCCTGATGCAACACAGGCCAAAACTTCCCCTCAGCATCTTCTGCCCCCTCAGCATCTTCATGTAGATGTTGAATGACAGGGGGATAGAACAGACCCCTGAGGAACTCCATGCTGGAGAATCTATGGAACTGAACAGTATTCCCCAAGCAAGCATCCTCTTCTGGATATGGCCCTCCAAGTAGGAGCAAAACCACAGCAACGCAGTTCCCCCCACTCCCATCTCAGCCAGCCACTCCAGAAGGACACCATGGTTGATGGTATCACAAGCCACCAAGAGGTCCAGCAGTATCAACAGGGTCACACTCCCCATGCCTCTCTCCTGGCATGGGTCATTATACAGGGTGACCAAGCCTGTTTCTGTGCCAAAATCAGGCCTGAATCCTGACTGTGCATCTAGATAATCAGTCTCATCCAAGAGTGCCTGGATTTGATTGGCAACCCCCCTCTCTAGAAAGGGATGCTTGCTACCAGCCTAAAGTTATTCAAATAGTTTTACCATCATTAGAGCTACCACCACTGAACACTGATTAAGCAATCACCTTAGACTAGGAGTCCTAAACAAAATAAGATTATTGTCCTTGCCCAGAGGGATTATCATTAAGGAGGTACAGATAATATTAATTTGTTCTGTCTCTATTTCATGGATTGCTGGGCTTCTTTCATTCCAGCCTCCTCTCACTGATGGAATTGTGAACTAGAATTACATTCTACCTATGCTATGTGCACTAGCACTAATGCACACATGTGCAGATGGAAATTAGTGCTAATTCAACTTAGTACAAAACTACGCATCCACCCAATGAAAAATTGTTCTGCAAGTCCCTAGTACACATGTGCCTTGTGAAAAGCTGGTCGACTGGGGAATCTGCAGGCTGACTTAATAGAAATGTGAGCTCATCTGACTCCAGCCTGGATTTCTCCAACATCCCTAATTATGATGTGCAGGAGATCAGCCTTCCCCAGTCTGGCATCCTTTATATGTGCTGGCACTGTATCAAGCACTCCCCTGGCACTAGCAGGACCTGCTGCTAGAACAACAGAAAGCTAGTGGTTAAAATCCACCTGAAATGAACAGAAACATTTTTCTCTAGAAAGGAAAGGTTAATGGCCCTGATCCAAGTAAGGTTTGCTGACCCATCCCAATCTGGAAATGAGTGTTTCTGCTCATTTCAGGTTGTTTTTACAATCACTTCTCTGTTCCTTGAGTAGGACCACAGCACCGTACTCAGATATTGTCCTTAGTTTACCTTTCCCATCATCTGCATGGAGGACAATGGGACTTGTTATCCAATATATCTGGAGGCCACTAGCTAGGGGAATGCTGGGCTAGCTGGAGAAGACAGGAAAGAAGGAGTGATCAAGAGCTGGGGAAGGGGTGAGTGACAAGGATGGGAAAAAAGAAAGAGCCAGATGGAGGCAAGTTGGTATGTTTAGGGCAGTTCAGAAAAGGCTTTGTGAAGGAAGTGGATCTTGGGACGTGAAGGAGGACAGCAAAGCAGCCTGAAGAACAAGGTGGAAGTCGTAGAAGGCATGGTGATGTAAGGTGGAGAAGGACAAAACTGTTTGTGGTTTTGTGCCCAAAGGGGAGAGACAGCAAGAAGGAAGACAGAGGATCCGTAGGCAGATAAGACTACACATCAGCTCTAGATGCCTAAGGTAATCCCAAGCCATCCCATCTGTAAGATGTATTGTCTTCTATAGCATAGAGCTATAGAATATAGAATTCACAAGAAGGATTTCTCCAGAAACACTCAAACTATCTCTTTAGTTTTAATCATTTCAGGCGAAAGAAGGAATAAGCTACTGCTTGGTTTTACAGCTATACTTTAAAACACAAAATAGCTGATTTACAAATTCTCCAGACTGACCACAGTGGAAATTGCTTTCCAAAGTCAGCTTAGGATTCTTATGGCATCCTGATGCTGTCTGAGGAGCTACAGGATTTTTCAGAGGCCCTATGAATGCGGAACTGGGACTGCAAACACTAAGCCCTCATCCCCCATGGCAGCCCACACAGGAATAGCTGTGCCAGCTGCCTCTCCTGAGCACACAACTGACCTCAGTGGGGACAAAAAGGGCTGCCAGCTTGCACTGGCTCCTCTCCATCCCTAGCCTCCTTCTTTCCACTGCCTAAATTAGATGACCACCAATGACCAATTAGAATAAATGCACAGGGCAAAAGAACAGCAGACGGAAATCACTGCCAAAGTGCCGCACTCCATGCATGTAAGTCTACGAGTTCAAAGGTGTATAAGTGCACAAGACTGTGGTCTTAAGCTCTTTATTCAGTTGAAAGTTGTATTCTTATATGGGATATATACACTAGAACCACATCGGTTTACGAGGGAACACAGCCTTGGTATTTATGGTAAATGCATTTACCACATTGGGGCATCTGCTGATAAATACAGCATAATTGAAAATGTGTGCTTCTATCACATACAAGTGCAAGTGTGGGAGAAGTAGGAGGAGTTGGAAAGGGGGTGTGAGAAGGGATTTTAAAATTTTAATCTATTAAATAAGAGAGCCAGTGTGGTATAGCAGTTAATCATGTGGGTCTGAGGCTCTGGTGATCTGGTTTCTAGTGCCTGCTCAGCCATGGACCCAACTGGGTGACCTTGGGCTGATCCCAGACTCTCAGCCCTACCTAGGGCTGTTGTTGTGTGGATAAGAGTGAGAGTGATGTAAGCCACTCAGACTTTGAAATTAAAAAGGCGGGATATCAATCTAATAAATAAATAGGCAGAAGTGCCTCCTCTAAAAAGGACCGCTCCTTCTACCCATTCACAAGAAATCAGGAAGGAGAAGGGAAGAGATGGGGGGCCAGGTGCTGCTCACTGCTTTCCTCCCAAGGGTTGAAGCCAACACAACCAGCACCCCTATTATCCTTTACCCAAGAGCAAGCAAGTGCAGCCCTTTGCTGTGCTGACTCTTCCACAAGTAAGCTCCACTGAAGTCAATGTAATTTGTTTTGAGTAAGGCCATTGAGGATAATGCGATTATCTTCTGAGTAAACATGCATTCCCGATGATTGTTTCTTGAGCAAGAAGCCAAAGGAGACTTGAAAAAATATTGCAAACTTTATTTTTCCAAGAACAGCAGAGGGATGGAGGAAACAGCCTTATATTTGCAACTTGGGTGAGAGGTAAAGGGGCACGGGGTGGGGGCAGAGGGAGAGGGAGAGGGTGCGCCTTGGGCTAGAAGAGGCAGGAAAGCAACAAGCAACTGAAAGAACTTTGAATCCCTGATGCTTTGTTGAATCCCCAGAGACAACCCACTGAAGTCACTCCTCCTGTCCCTAGAACAGTATTGCAAATTTAGCAGGCACTGATAACATATACCTAAGGAAAATTCAGCATATTAAAAGGTTTTGATGCAACTAGTTTGAAGAAATTCAGGATAGAATGACAGGAGGACAAGTTGGAGGGAGTGTCCTCACCGTGACTCAATCATTACAATGTGGGTAAAAACACCTACCGCAGATCGTCCCATAGACACCTTTTTGGACATTTGAGGCAGACGCCTTGGTAGACATGGTTGGAGCTGAGTTTAGGCCTTTTAAATTCATAAATATGAATTGTGAAGCTGTACCATGTGCAGCATAATTCAGTCCTGTGGCCTGGCTTTTCTGAAAATCATAGCATCATCACCAAACAGCATTTGCAGTTAATTCCTAGCCTCTCAGTTTCGCTGCTTTCTGTATCACAGAAGGCCTCATTTTCAATCCTGTTCCTAAAACCCAACTGGGAGGAAAACTGGCAGCTCACATAAATAGCTTATTACCTAAATCACCCCAGGAGCTATTGCTCAAAAGAACTTAAGAGCTCAGAAAACACATCAACAGCCTGCTTATATTATTTCATTATTGCTGTGCCAGCTTTCCACTGCTTACAGAATCACAGAGGCTACAAATGGGAGTGCATCTAGTTGACCTTTCTGCCAGGAAACTGCCCCTCAGATTCGTTCCTAGGAAGAACTCTGCTGAGGACTGGGCTCAGGTCAG